CCCCAACTCCTAACCCCTCTTTCTCATCGTCTTCTTCCCAGTCGCCACACTCGAGAAGCGCTCCAGGCATGTATCCCCTGTTCTCCTCTTCGTAGATATCTTAAATATCGAAGATTTACGAAAAAAGACGCTTCCTTTACTGTGTTTTCTATGTGTTTTTGTTTGAGATCTGATCTCCGAGTCTGCTTCAGAAGGAGAAAAAAAAGGATTTTTTTTTAGCTGGTGACGATTGTTTAGGGTTTCTGTTCTGCTGTTTTTTTATCTTCTCTTATTAGAGTAAAAAAATTGCATTTTGGTGGCCTTCTTAGCTTTCTTTTGAGTATATTCGTTTATTTGGAGTGGTTGTACTCTTGTTCTTGCACAGAAGCGATTGAGATTCTTCCTTGTATTTGTTTGAAGCAGATAATTTGTGGATTTTGCTGAAAGGGAAGGTTTTGTGGCTTCTGTGCTGGATTAATGCTCTTCTGTTAATGATGAGGCTATCTGCTAGTAGAAATCAGAGGTCAAAAGGGGGATTTAGAGTGAAGCTTGTTCTGCAGATTTGCCTGTTACTGGCTATCTGCACCTGGTTGCTTTACCAGGTCAAGCATTCTCATGACAAGAAGAAAGCTTTTGAAGATAAGATCTCGCAGATTGCCTCAATGGAGGTCTCAAAGCAGCCTCACCTCTTTGATTTGGGCAGGAAGAGCCTTCCACTTCTCAAAGAAAAGGATTTGACAAGCGATAATCATGTCAAGGAGGACGGCAATGAGGAGGACGAAGGAGGATCATGTCAAGGAGGACGGCAATGAGGAGGACGAAGAAGGAGGGGGGCAGGAGCAGGAGCAGGAGCAGGATCAAGATCAGGATCAGGACATGAAACAGGAAGACACTAAGGATGAAGATGAATTCTTTAGCGAAGAAGAGAAGGATGGCCAGGTAGAGGAGGATGATTTTGATCTCCAGGAGGAGGAGGGCAGTGCCCAGGAGGCCAGAGAAGAGAATTATAAGAGAGATGATGCTTCGAGCGCTGTCGCTCATGATTCTTCGATGGAGATTGAAGATTCAAAAGGGAATGACTTGGAGTCTTCAGCCAATGGAACAGTTGATGTTGGCATGAACAACAACAATGAAACTTTGGTTTATGTTGCTCCTCCTATCAGCACTATCAGCAATGTTTCTAATGCTTCTTTTGGTGAAAATATTACTCTCATAAATTCGGATTTATCTATAAATGGGAGTCATTCAACTGAAGTTCTCCAACAGAATGAGCAAAAACTTGCCAACACAACAACACCAACAACCACCACCACAACAACAACAAATTTACCTGTGGACAATGCTTTTGATAATAGTTCAGTAGCAATCCAAAATGGATCTAAATTTGATAATTCTGTGTCAACCAGAGAGGTTTCTCAGCTTGCAAAATCTGGATTGATCCCAGTTCAAGATCAGAATTACAAGTCAGACGACCATCCTCTGAGTTCGGATCTATTAACAAATGGAGTGAAGGATTCTGATGATAAAGCTGCAGAGTAATGGAGTTCTTCAGCTGGTAGAGGTAGTAAGTTCTGTAACTGATGCAGCTATATATGTTTTCCTGCATGTAATGCTTGCTTAGGAAAGAAAAAAAAAAAAGATGGCCGTTTTCTAACTTTAATGAATGATGATGATATATATATCATGGGTTCATCAAGTCTAGAGAAAGAAAAGTGTTTTAACTTATGATAAGAGTTCAGTATAAGAGAGTTTTAGTTAAACAATTATGGTTTGAAGCTTGACAATATATGTTGGAAGGTGTTGTTTTGCTTTTCTATGCTAAAGGAGAACAAATTGATTTGAATAAATTAAAGGAACTGTTTGTTTGACTGAATTAGTGTAGCGTAAATGAAATGCAGAGTTTTTAAAATTTTGATTTTTGGTTTAATGCAACGGAAAGTAGTATACATTTTTGGTAAATTTGGAATACATCATGTGGCTTATAACTCATTTACTTCAAATCTATTAGCTTCGGGTGATTTTCAAATATTGTGTAAGAAGCGTGTATCGTCGACACCAGCCGCCACTATCAGCCGACTCCGCTGATGCTGGCGGATCATTGTGGTTTGTTGATTGATAATGTCCGTCGTCTCTCACCGCCGCCAGTCTTTACACTGGCCACCACTGTCAGCCGACTCCATCGATGCTGGCGGATTATTGTGGTTTGTTGATTGATGATGTCCGTCGTCTCTCATCGTCGCCAGTCTTTACATTAATTTCATAATCAAAATATTTTAA